GCTGGCTACGGGTCCCGATGTATATCATTATGTAAATCAGGTGAGCATTTTGGTGAGAGGTGTTCACATGGGACTGAGGTCAGTAAATGATGGAGAAGAAAGAAGCCTACCATGTGCTACGCTGCTACAATTTCCAAGGCCGAAAAATTGATACTAGAATGGCTGCATTCTGTTGTAAGTACTGTACAAGACAATGTAAGATAACGGTGTTTAATGTTGACAGTATTTACCCAAAATGGCGCGTTTGTAACGTTGGTTCTGTGGTGTTATTTTAACTGCGTTTATGCCCCTGGAAGGCGGGGATTCATCATATTTATATGGAATTTGTAGGTTTCATACCATCTTGTACTTTTTCTCGGAAGAAGTTCGATCTATTTTTCATTCACAGACCTGCGGGTGCCTAGTATGGCTTCCCAGTCAACATCCAGTGACGCTTTTAATTGAACACATTCCTTTAAAAGTCCACCATCAGCTTGAAGTTTAAATGGTCTATTTTTCGGTTATAATTTCAGAAGGAAAACTTTTGCCAATAAAGAGGTAGGGTATAAAGAAGGACTTATTCCAGCTGTCCGAAACGCGTCACCTGTCTTTAACAGTGGACATCGACTACGTAAAGGTAGGTACCTTCACTCGTACAAGGTAACTCCCTGCTGAAGACAACCTTTTATTATTTAAAGTAGCAAAAACACCCCGTTTCTTACAATAGCCTGTCAAAGTCTAATTATCTACAAGACTGCCGAGACAACGTAAGTAAATATTTGCAAAGTATAGTGCAACTCCATGTTCATGATTCCATGAATCTTCCGTCCTTTGATATTACAATCTTTAATGTCATATGATGTTTACATAAGGCTAACACTGCTTGGGTTCCGAAATACATGTAATCCGCATTGGAGCGTTAGATTAAGTAATTGTTAATAAATTTAAATATATAATACCATGTACTAAAATGGGCTGCTGTAATAATTATATTTTGCTTTATCGAATCCTTAGTCTTCGCTTCATGAATTTCGTCGTTTTATTTGAATTTGTTCGTTTGATTTCAGTGTTTCTTATAATGTACCTACCTTTTAGGAGGAGACTGAATGCGACGTCCACCAAGGGCCTCAGATTCGTGTTCGTAAGGACCGCAAGTTGTCTCTTATGCCGTAGTTTGTCTTCTATCCAAGTTTGTTGCAAGGTTGACATGTAAAACGGGATAGTACGTTTGCTTGCATCAAAACGTGCAACAAAGGATGTATGGGGAAATCTGCAATAAGACACCCCTCTGTGCACTTATAAATGTATTTTTATTCATTTTAAATTAAATTCGATCATAAGTTTTGATGAAGTTTATTTTTGGGTAGGGAAAAGTCGCAACTCCATAATGTAAAATGCACACAAAACTTTTGCGAGATACGTATATGGTGTTCAAGTAAAGAAGATAACGAGATGTGAATCTACCATCATTTAGAAACGCTGTTACATAAATTATAACACTTAAAAAGTACAGCATTGGGAAACCAGAATCATGTGCCCACTTTCTTGCAGAATTGACCACGCGTCTATCTTCCTAGAAATGTGAATATGCCATTGTGCTATTAGGTTTGTAAGAGTTTACTTCAGATGTTGGCATGTTGATTGGTAACCTCCATATAATTATATTCTTAGTGCTGGGAAGGAGTAGTCTAAAAGGTGTTTTAAGAAAATAAAACATGTAGTTCAGCTAGAGACTTTTTTCGAAAATGATTTGTATTTGTTCTTTAAAATGGAAAAATAAGTGCTGGGAAGGAGTAGTCTAAAAGATTTGTTTTTAAGAAAATGAAACGTGTAGTTGAGCGAGAGACTTTTTTCGAAAATGATATGTATGTTATTTAAGTTGGAGAATATGTCTTACGTAGGCCTATATGACGAAAAAAATTAATCCTGCTTGGGCTACCAAGATCTTTCAGAACGGAATTAATTTATGCGTTGTTAACGAAGTTAAGTCAGTGTCACAAATCGGGAAGAAGGTTTATGTTCACCAAGAAAAAAATAGCGGTTTAATGCGATGTTTTATTTTACCATGTTTTGTTCATTCGACGGTCTATGTAGGGTTGGCATTTATAATACCTTTTTCACATTCTAATTTCTTTTCCAAATTGAAATGTATTAATTCAGCTGTCGCAAAATTAATTCCATTGAGTAATGATATCAATCTATTTCAGGAGCTTATTTCACGTAAAGTGTGAAACAATTTGATAGGTAATTCACGTAATTTATATTTGGTACACCTATTCAAATATTAAAATCGATACTTTATCAAAAATGTAAAAAATGCTTTGAAATTTTGGAGTCAAAAGTTTGACCAAAGCATTGCAGGTTAGCCCTCTAATTAAGGTGTTGCTTGTACCCAGTGCTTAGTCAAGAATGACTGAAGAAAAAAGGCTGAATTAGATGCCAGTCCTACACGCTCTGTTCGGATTTTTGCCGAGTGTCTCTTGATTCAGACTTGAACCAAGTTCATTTTCATTTTCTGAATGTTTCGAGTTATTTCAAGTGAACTGATTTAGTTTTGCGTAAATGTAACATTTTCAGCTATATTTGTATATTATTCTTAAAAACGCTGTAACTAAGATAAACTTGTAAATGCTCAAGCATACTTTGAAGTAGATGATGTTACGGAAATATTTATTAACGTAGAACAAAAATACAATCAGATGTAGTTAATTTTTGGTGAAACCAAGTAGCCTAGTCTGTTATTGTTCCAATTCATTCAGATAAGAATAAATTCTTGTATGTTATACTGATTTCAAAATGAGAAAATTTGTGTTTTAAAAGTCTTCTTTGTCTCTACTCGAACTCCTCATATCCCACTTTTTTACGTAGTGATCAGCTTAATTTTCTTGGCTTTTTCAGTTCGTTGATTCTTCTTGTAGTACCTCAAATTGATTTTTTGTGAAAGGTAATTTGCTTAGAGCCAGGAGCGAACGGAATCGAACCCGCGATCTTTGGACTCCGAGGCAAGCGCGCTATCTACTCCCCTAGGTGTTCACACCCACCCTCCCCAGATAGACTTTCTTCTTATAGTAACGAGGGGGAAATTCTAAAATTCCTTCTTAAAAAGTATCAAGTTCATTCCGCTCACCCGACCCAGGAATAGAACCCCCAAACCCAGTTGACCACAGAGCCAATAAAAACACGGACATTTTGTATATATTTGGAAAGATTTTATTACAGCAGCACAAATTTTCATTTATGTATTCATTCAATTTTAAAGCATATAACAGTTCAATTTCATTTTATAATTTTTGAAACAAGTTTAAACTGTACGAGTATGAAAGGGGTAATTATTGATATCTGCATTAAGACTCACTCGTACGTGTACTATGCTATTGCTTGATCAGATTTATATATGACAAAGTATTTCAGCAATGGTAAGGACATCTTTTGAGTTTCGTTCATTTAAAAAACAATGGCGGACCTAGTGCCCCCATATCCTCCCTTGTATGGTAAAATATTCTGGATTCGCCAGTATTTTCTTCCTTTATAACCATAAGATATTAAGAAATAAGCAGTGAATGGCTTTTTCAAAATTCAATGCGACGTAGGAGTTCGATAATTACTATTGGAACGAAAACGGGGAAATGCGTTAATAGCGTCTTGCTGAAATTGTCAATTGTGAAATAACTTTCACATTTAGCCGGCAATTGACATTATTGAGTGAATAAGAAACGTTATATTTAATTAGGGACAAAATTTTAAAAAAATTCACAAAAATATCATCAAATATTTAAAACATGAACAGTTATCAAATTTGAGTAAAATAGAGGGACAGACCATTATATCACTTTTACTCTCTACATTCACATTCAATAAAAATAATCATTATCATAAAACATATTGTAGAGACTGCTGACCTATACTTCAGGAGATTGATAACATAAACCTTACTGCTGTTTGCTAATTATTCGGAGTCGTGTTATAATCATCACGAACAAATTTATACCAATAATAAGACGTAAAAGTTTACTTTTTAGATTCATTTGCAAACACTCGTATATTCACCATCATCAGCTTTTCGAATTCGTAAAATTTTCGCAAATTGAGACAAATTTGAATATTCGCTTGTAGCACAAAATAGTTGATTGTGGTACGCGAAAGACAGCGCGAGACTTTTACTTTAACCACCAAGTAAATATGAGAGATTTCATTCTTGGAAAGGCTTTATAGGTTTTAAAAAATTCCTCAGATTTTTGACACTGTATAACTTAGTGATAAAGAGAAAATATCTGATATTTTAAGGACAATAACAGGAAACTTCAAAATCTGCGATTAAATATATATCATATATAAAATACACTGTGAATTTGACGTTAGGTACCAATTAAAAGCACCGAAATCCTTTTAAAACAGCATTTTGCGCCTTTAACAAGCTGAACTATAAGAATTTAGTAATGAATTCTTGCCAAGATGCATAAAAGGAAGTATATTAGTACACGTAGAAAAAGATACATGTTTTTTTTACAATTACCAACAGCTAACTAAATATCAACACGTCAATGGCTAGGAATTAACACGGGACATTCCACAACATTTCTACTTCTCGACTACACTACAGGGTTTACTGCTTCTACTACTGCTACCAACGGAGTTCAAAATATGAGGCTCTTTTTTCATTTCACCGAACGTAAAGAGATGAAATTATGGAGGAAGCAAAAGACTACGTGGGGAAATGCTGAGGAATATCCAAAACAAATTTTAAACATGCAGGCGTCAAAATACTTATCAAAAATGAATCACATATAAATCACCATTAGATGTATAACCTAAATTTCTTAAAATTACACTAAACCCGTTGAAATTCAAATATACGAATACTTGGTGTCTGTACCTCATCGTCTCTAATCCGTGTTTACTCAGAACTGGAGGAGTAATATCTCTTTCTAGGGTGTAGGTTGGATCCAAGGAGGAAGGGAGGGGGGCAGGGTGAACCTAGAGAGTTTATCTTACATATCTTAATTTGACAGGTAAAGCACCATTTACAATAAATAAACAAAAAAATTGCAATAAAATACGAAGAACCGGTTTGTGTTCAATATATTTTAAAATTAAGCAGAATAAATAATGTTGCTCAGATCTTATCCACCCCAAAATAAAATGGCATCATCTAGGTCACGGGTTATCCAAACATGGTTCGCGTCATGTTTTCATCGGAGTAGTTTTTGCCAAGTTTGTCAAACCATGCAGTCCTATACCGCCTCCTCGAAGAAAAAGAAATGAACATTTCTTTTGGTATTGGAAACTTAAAATCTAAGTAAATTTTTGGACATGAAGTCTCCAGACGATTATTCGTAACGTAGTGGTTTAATGTTTCATCACTTTTTCACGTGCATATGAAAAATTATCCTTCATGCATGCACTCTCTCTCTCTCTCTCTCTCTCTTTCTCTCTCTCCCACACACACACACCCGTGCGCGCACGCGCGCACACACACACACTTCTCCAGATACCTTATCTAACACGACTTCTGGCACAGAAAAACCAAATACTGGTACAGATATCTATATATTGATAATATATTCATAATCATTTATCCAAATTTACGACATTAGTGGTGATATACAGCGATTTCCACGTGGATAAAAGTGTCCATAAATTTCAAAAGACACCGCCAAATGTCAGCAAATTTATACACAATTAACAGCAGAATGTACTCAGGAAGCGAACATGATTGTGTGATCCACAAAAAGTTTCGTCTCTGCAGAAAAAAAAAAAATCCGCCACGTCGTGTGTGTCCTGATGAAACGTGAAGTGGTCCCTGAAGTCACAGCTTGCATAAGGAATGGAGGAGGAATAAAGAGGGGGTTCGAACGAACCACCATCTTGGTCTAAAAAAGGTCTGCTTTTAATCAAAAGTTGCCAATATGGTAATAAAAGGTCCAGTTTAAAAATTAATTGCAGCAGACCAATAGGGCATACTTTTGATTTTCCTTCTACACATAGTACTTTAACTTGTAGATTATCGAATTATCTTGTATTACTTATCGAAGCCGACTAACAAAATGGCAAAGAGGTGTTAAGAAACGCTGAGCATTACTTGAGCATTTCAGACAAATGCCCGTAAAAACAATTTTCTAAGGATTGTCGAAACAATGGGTATGCTTTCTCAGATTTCCCGCTTAAAATGTCCAATAATTTCTCCACCATTTCTTCCTTTGTTGGCATAGTTTTCACGGCTTCCCCTTCACGGTTTGTGAAAATACTTTCTTGTTCCAAAAAGTTCAATATGTCTTTCACCGATTCACTGCTGATTTTTTCTACCAGAACGCACCGATGCCTGTCGAGAAGACAAACATGGTCCCTTGTCATGGGCATTTTACCTGAAATCACGAAGTACGTTTCAGATATTAATTGGCACGCAATGAGAGTTACTTTTATAAAGAATATTGTTTTTCATTTCATGGCAATAAACAAATAAATCTAGGTGAATTGAATAGTGGCTAAAATGATTGTAACTGATTCACTTGCCGATAATCTTTATAGACTCTTCATTCGTGTCTCCTTTTCAGCATACATTTAAAGTGATAACAACTCTTCCCATGATAACTATATTTCACAGTAAAAAAAACATTGTTAACAACTCATGGAAATATGATATATTCTATTTAACCACAAAACGGCACAAAAAGCAATTATTCTGAAATCTGAGCTTGCCATCACTTCATGTGATGCCACAGATGGCTATACTATATAATCTTTTATGAGATTATTAAAAAAACAAACTTTAAAGAAAAAAAAAAGAAAAAAGGGACACTAACTTTGAATGTAGGTATGTATTCATTTACCATTGGTAAGTATGAGAAAATTGCTGTTTACATCAGGAAAATTCATTTTTGGCCAAAACAAACAGTTATTATCCCTTTAAGCATGCACATGCTGGTGTGTGTGTGTGTGTGTGAGAGAGAGAGAGATTACCTGGATCAGTTTCCCCTGTTGCCATTTCATCACCGCTCCGACTTTCGTCAGTTTGTTCCTCTGCCCCTGCACATGCACCCTCGTCAGACTCGGAGCTGGACAGATCTTCCTTGATCTCTGATATTGAAGAAAATATTGTTCATGCGTCTGGGCATTTAAAATGGTAAAAATAATAATAATAAAAAAAAGACACGTAAAATAATTTGACAATGATCTGAAATAAATAATTTGATATACTGTTTTGCAATTTTGATATACTTGTATATGTTATCACTTATAAATTTCCATATGTTTTTTATTTGTAATAATTATTCAACTGTAGTCTATATAGGGATGGTGTACACTACTTATGAAAAATGTCAACCTTTTGATTGCAATTTTGATTTTGATTGCAAAGTAGATATTATCAAAATAAAACTGACTTTCAATAATCAACAAACAGCCGTAACCTTACTGTTGTATATTAAATTTAACTGATATTATATCCGTACATGTACTAGTTTATACTGGTATGTAAAAATACCTTCCTTTGATTGTTTTCAAAAGGAAAAATATAATACATCACAAGTAAAAAAAAAAAATTAAAATGTCAAGTCTTACCATTTGTGCTATTGGCCTTGCCACTTTTTATATTTTGTATCCTCTGTTCCGCCTTATCCAGGTGTCTATTTAATTTCTCAAGACCAACCTTTTTGAAAACCTTCCTGAGTTTGCTGTATTTTCCTTCAGATATTATCATTCTATTGTTAAGTTCATTTAGAAGATCTAATGTGTCCATATTCTCTATTCTTCCGGCTCCAATTTTTCTGGTAAAGCAATGCTTTATCAGCTTTAACTGATCTTCAGTTATTTCATTCTTAAGCCGTATCGTTAATAAACTGTGGATTCCCGCGGCAGACGCCATCTCGTGTTGTCCACATCAAAGGTGCCACTGATTAATGTAAAAGAAAATGTCTGTTAGAACTGACCATACCCAATATCAGATCCAGGTCTCTTTTTAGGAATACATCCAGGGCAAAGTTGGCAGACACCCCCTTGCTTTTAAATCATGCACATTTGCAACATTGTATTGTCTTTGCCTTATTATTTTATTTATTTATTTATTTATTTATTTATTTATTTATTTATTTATTTTGACAAGTGAAGTGAGACAAATTGTTATTCCTGTGATCCAATCCTCCTGAGACAAATTCTGGATTTGCCAGTACAAACTAGTTACAGCGTTAGTTATACAGGTTTTCTGTCTCTGACGCATGAAATTATTTTACTAACATTCTGACTAGAAAAAATGTATGGGGTGTTCAGTTCACAAAAATAACCCCCAGACTAGTAAATTAATTCTAACTTAGTCGCTTGCTTGTGCACTCGACTCATTTTCTGGCAGAATATGTATAATTTATATAACGCAAGTGTTCTCGTGCAATTTGCGCAATTAAGATTTGTAGTGCAGCATTGGATCTACCTAAAATAAGAAATTCGGATATAAGCCTTCGGAATTAACATCGAGGGGATCAGATTTAGGGAGACCACTTGGGAGGGCTAAGAAGACGGGCGCGAAGTGTGGGAGAGGGTTCCGAAGTTGAAGACTACACCCAGAACGATGTAGTTAGCGAGTACCCTTTTCTTTACATATTTGGCGATGTGTGTGTGTGTGTGTGTGTGTGTGCGTGTGTGTGTGTGGTGGGGGGGGGGGGGGAGGAGGGTGCTTTTTAATGTGACCACTTCCAGGTCCGCATATTGCATTTTCTCCAGCACGACAGGGAACCGTTTAATGAATCATAATAGCCAGAGACATATCCAAGAATATCTAGTGAAAAATTAATTCGTTACCCTAGTAGTATAGGGGGTCACAGGGGCGGATCCAGGATTATTTGAAGGGAGGTGGGGGGGGGGGGGGGTCCGCGGACCGAAAAAAAAAAGAAGGGTTTTTTAGGGGGGGAAGGGGGCCATTTGGAACGGTTTCGAACCTTGATTACGCATTGGGGGGGTTTTTTTTTTAGAAATCGA